TTCTTTCAGAGCTTTCTTCTGTTTTTCTCTGTCAGGTCATTTGTACATGCCTCCTGCTGAAATCAGGAGGACATAGGGAACTGCTGGTTCATTTGAACAATGAGGTTGTCTCCAGTGATGATAGACACTTTTCTCCTTCTGTACTGGGAAAATTCCCAGCAGCTCTAAACTAGGCAATGGCTTAAACCTTCAGCTCTCGGCATCTCAGTCTTCCTGTGGCATTGAGTCCCAGTGTCCCATGAAAACAAAACATTCATTTCTTTTCAGTAAGATGGAATTTGTCACTTTTCTGTTCCCCTGGCTGAGCCTTCTATCATAAAAAAGGGAGACAGATTGTCTCCTGTAGGTTTGTCCCTACTTTTTTATTTTTTTAAGTGTTATTTTAATTTACCTAAGCGATCCTATACTCTTCACTTTCTTTTTCTGTGACCTCAGTGAGACCCAGATGTTCTCAGGATCTTTGAATCTGATTTCTAGGCATGGAAACAAGGGCCCCTGTTTAGGTACCTTATACTGGAAATTGAGGTCACAGCTTTACTCTCCAGAGGATAAACTAAACATAATGTTAATGTGTTTATCATGAAACGTTTACAAAATTTTAGTTCCTTGCTCCTGGTACCTAGAGTTGCTGTAGAGGTAGAGTTACCCACCACAGTATTCTCACTTCAACCATCTGAAGTCTGATTGTGCCTGTTTTAGCAAGTCTTAGGGAAATGGTGTCTCATTTTTCTTAGACAACTCTGGATAGGGTGAGTTGCTTCCAGAGCTGCTGGATCTATGCTAGAAGTCTGATTTTTAGTTGCTGAATTAGAGGAGATGATGAAATCTGTCCTACATGCACTCTGGCTCCAGGGAAAGATGCAGCCCCTTCTGTTGGCTGTTTCTGGGATGTGTCCCAGTTCAGCAAGTGGACTACTGGGGATGACCCTTGAGATTGTGTGAAACACCACAAATATCTATTCATAGGGATCTGGGATCAAGCTTTACCTGAGTCAAGAGTAAGGAAAAAAAAATAGTAAAATTGTTTAAAATCTAGCTTTGAAACTTGCTGCTTAATTATCACTGGGGTCTGTTTATCAGCTCCAGAGAAAGGCAGAACTGTCTGTCTGGGTCAGTCAACTGTGCATCCTCTCACTGTCCTATGCTATGGTCATGGTCCCTGAATTCATTGTCCTGTGCTTTCCTCTGCCCTGAACAGGCTCAAAAATTTTCCAAACTGCAGCTCTCTAAAGAACAGCCAACAACCGCCTCTTCTTTCAGGGAAAACAAAACAACCTCTGGCTTTTTTGTTTTACTATAATCAGAGGCTCCCTTTTTAATCATTCCAGTTTCTAGTCACATGGAACACGAACTGTCTAAGAAAGCTTGAGAGAGAGGGAAAATGAGAGAAAGGAGGGGGAGCTTAGACAAAAAGCTTCCTCACTGAGGACAGGAAAGCTCCACTGCAAGACAATGGGGCAGTGACCTTTTGCCTTGAGGTCACGGTTTCAAATTCGTTCATCAGTGAATCGTTTTGGGAGGTTGTTCCCCTAGACTGAGAGGAACACAGAATGGACAACATTTGTCCTTATGCTCTGGTTGGGTCCTATCTTGAAATCCTGGAACTCAGTTCTGGGTTTCATCATCTGTATAAATCTCTCCCTTTTTTTGCTGCTGGGTGATTTGTCTGCAGAGACCAACACAGATTTTAATGTTACCTGTGAGAAGAAGGAATAAGGAAGAACATACAGATCTCAGAACAAACTCCAGACTTTTAATTTATTCACTGGAGTCTGGAAATTTACTTTCCTACCTATTTTTACAGTATGAAGAATTTTTTCCTTTATCCTCCAGCATAATCAAATCTTGGGGTCAAAACCTAAGCTTTTCTGGAATGACCCTGGAATTTCACACATTCTTCTTAAAGGCTAAGCAAGCTTTGCAATCATGCTGGACTGAAAGGATTCCTAAGGATGGAAGGCCCTCTCCAGCACTTAATGGACATGTCTGAAAGATGAGTCTGGGGTAGCTACAGCTTCTTTGTAGCACAAATTTTATAAAGAATGAGAGCTACCTTGTCATTCCTTGTCCATTCAACATTGCCTGGTTCACTTAGTGAAAGATCCCTCAGAGAAGAGAAAGAGCAGAAAAAGCTATTTTTGATGCTTTTTCCTACTTGAAAATCACAAGATTGTACATGTGGCTTTGTGCTTACCCTCACTTGTTCTAGCAGTTCACCTTCAGCCTGGTAACTTCTTTCCCTAACAGCCTGTACATCAAACCCCTGGAGCTGAAAGATGACTCTCATTTCCTTTAGCAGGGTCCCAAACCCATGCAAATCACTACGTGAGGCCAAAGACTTTTGCCATGCCAGCACAGGACCTCACTTGAACAATGCCTCAGGTCCCTTCTCTGTGAGCCAAGGAGCTCACGCTTGGCCATGTTTAGCAGTTATCAGGAAGGCTGTACATGTAATTTCTCTCTTCCTAGTCTCCCATTTGGTCTCCATGCCTGCCAAATGTTTGTGAGGCTTCCTCAGTTCCGCTCAGCCATGCTGGTGTGCAGGCTAGCTCCAGCTGTGACCTGCGAGAGAGGTGGGCATTGCCCTGTGGCTCTGTTCATGTATACACAAATCCCTTCCTGCTCATACCCACTGAAAACGAGTCCTTCTCTCCAGCTTTGGAGAGGTCACACAGCCAGGACACAAGGACACCAGGACACCAGGGTGATCATGGTTCCTTCCCAGAGGCCTTTCAGGCTGACGGTCTGGAAGACATCACTCTCACCAGTTTATCTGGCCTTGTGGTTAACATGGGATGTAATATTTCATGTTCGTTTGGGCTGGAACCAGGGATGTCATCCCGTGGCTCCAAATGACAGAAAATCCACCCCGTCCCTTGGGGTGCAGCTCTCCCTGCACTGCGTTACTCTTCTGCACAGAAACGTGCTGCGTATTTCCTCTGTGGGCTTTGCTGATTTCCAAACTGCAGCCCATGCAGTTGCTCATGCCTCTGGCTGCTAGATCAAAGATTCATTTTATATCAGAGTTTTTCACTCCATAAGTCCCCTAATCACTTATTAACCTGTTAGCCCATGCGCCGTCTCACAAATTGCTCTCCTTTCTCCTCTCGCTGGTAAGTGTGTTTGCCAGACTATAAATCATTCTGGAAGCTCTTCTTTGAGCTTTCTCCAAGTTTTCTTTTTAAAGTGCCAGCTCCAGGACTGGACACACAATTTTATTCTCACATGTTTGCCAGAGCTTGGTTTCACAAACTCATTTGGTAAATAGATTTTCCTTCTATATATTTCTGCCAGTTCTGGGTGAGAAAAGGGAGAGGGAGAGTGATAGCGTATGGTGTTTCTTTTAATGATGTGATCCTAGTATGAAGGAATCCTTTTTTTTTTTTTTCTTTTTCTTTTTTTTTTTTTTTTCTTTTTCTGGAGACCACCCAGTGACTCTTGGTGTAACTGCAAGTGACAGTTACCATCTTATCTCTTTGAGCAGATGTCCAGAAAGAAACTGTTTTTGACCCAAATCAACATCAGTCCCACCTCTTTCTCCCACCCTGTCCAAAAGAATGGTTGGTACAGCATCCCCTCCCTGCTATATTCACACTACACGACCATGTGAGCCAAGCTGGGCTGAGATGCCACCCTCCTGGTTCTCCTGGCATGGCTTTCATCATGGGACACTTCTTTCAGCCCCTGTGAGCTGGGAAAGGCTCCACTGGTGTCTGTGTTTGGGTGCACCATGCCTGGTTGGGGATGCACTCCACAAGCCTCTGTGCAGGCTCGCATCCTCTCCTGCTCCAGTGATTGCTGCAGGGCCACCAGGCATCTCCCCTCTTACCTCTGGGGGAAGAGTGACTTCACCCACCAGAGCCTTTAAAGAGAGGATGTTAAAAACAGAGACAATGACATTGTAAGGTCAGGCTAGGCTGAGGACAACAAGCAGTCTAGTCTCCAAACATGACAGGGAAGAGAATGTTTGCTTTAGATTTATTTTTTATTTATTTTATTATTTTATTTTATTATTTATTTTATTTTATTTTATTTTATTTTATTTTATTTTATTTTATTTTATTTTATTTTATTTTATTTTATTTTATTTTATTTTTTAACTTAAAAAGAAAAAAAAAAAGGAAATGTTTCTAGTAGTCTCCCTTCCTCTCTCTCATACATATATATATATGTGTATGTATGTATTTGAAAAATGCAACCCACAACTTTTGGTTTGAATTTGATCTGACAGTATCCCTTTAACGTGAAAGTCTAAAGCCGTAATTGATACCCCAGTTGGACATTATCACAGATTATTTCCTGTCTGTGTTTTGACTGTCCTGGTCGAATGGCTTCCAAACCTAACACAGAGTCAATGAAGAGAAACAACCCTCAGCTACTATTATTCCTGTTACTCATTCTACCAAAATAATAAAAATAATGAAACCGCAGCCTGCCTTGAACAGTAAAGATCTCTTAAAAGCCTTTCCTAAGCTGAGCCTTGACGTACCTTGCATATCTTAGGGAAAAAAAATAAATTTGGTAGGTTTGAGGGAGGAATTACCAGTGATGTTCCTTGGCCGGGCTCATGTCCACACTGCTCATAAAGCACTGTTTGGGTGCAGATGTGAGTGTTGGGAACTCCCCGTCCCACCCAGGGCTGACCACCCATCTGCTGTGTGGCTAGCCACGCATGGGCTCTGCCACGCCACTGCGGGCACCATATTTTCCATTATTTGCCTTGGAAATAGGTCTTCATTTAAAAATAAATTAATTTACCTTTTTGTATTTTATTAGTGTTTAATGATGGTTTACACTGAATTTAAAGTGTTAGTATAAAAAAAAGTCTGTTTATTTTAATTCCTACTTGGTAAAAGTCTTCTTAAAAATTATATTTAACAGAAAAGGATATTTGTGGTTGTTTTTAGTTTTTGTTTTCACTCTTTGTTTTGTTTCATCAGTCTAAAATAAATCCAAGAAATCAGAAAGGGGAAAATCAAATCCTATCCACATCTTCCTACCTGTTCTGAAGCCTTTCTATGAAGCTTCAGATGGGACCTCTGAGTGATGTGGCTTTCCTCAGCTCTATTTGGCACATTTGCTTCCTCAGCCAGGGACCATCCCCTTCCTGTAGCCTGGACAAGGGTGTCTCAGCTGAACTGCAGCTATTCTGGATCCTAGTTTAGTGCAAAAGACAAAGCACAAGAAAAAAAAAGAGTGTCAGGGAACCAAAGAGACCTTGGGACATGGATCCAGACCAATCATTTGTGTTAGTTTTACCCCAGCCATGTCATAGACTAATTTACTCATTTATTAATTTAGTCATAGACTATTTACTATTTTTCAAGAGAAATGTAGAAGAAACTGCTTTCCAGTGAGGTATTCAGCTCTTTCCTCTTTTCATCTTCAGACTTACATTTCTAAATTACTCACAGACTGTCTTGAGAACCTTACTTAGACATTTCCTGAAGGCCAAGATTTTCCTCCATGAAGAACATTTCCCCAGACCTGAAGAGCAAAATGATGCAAACTGCAGGGATTTTTTGGCTCAGTGTAGTAGGGTGGAAGGAACAGGGATGATCCACTCTGATACCATTCAGATGCTTGGCTGTTGTTTCAGCATCTGGCAAAGGTTAACAGCTATCTTAAACTGGAGCTGCTTTTAGAGAGAGGGGGCTTAAAGCACACCCAAACGAACATTAAAAATTGCACACATGTGCATGCCCTACAAAGCCAACCCCCTGACATGCAGATGAGGAACTCCTGAAGACTGTTCCATCCAGTATTTTGGGCTCCTGTATGTTAGGTTTCTTTGGATTAATTTTCCCTTATTTCAGAAAAGGTTCCTGAGAGGCATAGCCATTTATATTCTGAGGGTATAAAACAGAAAGGCCAGTTTCACGCTGGGTGAAATGACATTGTAGTGATGTTATAGCTAGTAGAATTTGTCCACAGTAAGTTAAAAGTGGGAAAAACTCTCTGAGAGTGTTGAGTTTATAATTCCTCATGGGAATGGTCAGTGGTGACCTATGATGGAGGAACTTCAGAGCAGCAGAACGAAAGGGAAAAATGTTTTCAGCTCTCACAATCTTTAGGCATGGAGGGACAGAGGTTGGGGAAAATGAAATAAAATAAATAGGCATCACACAAGGAACAGTAAGAAGAGGGTTGAAAGAAGGTGAGATGGATAATTAAGCAATAAGACATGACAGGCTGTGCATTTCTGGATGATTATTGCATGCCTGCTATGATGTTCTCTAGGAGAAAAGTTTCACTGCACAAGAACAAGAATCACCCCCCAGGGGCTGGCTGGCGGGAGGGTTTAATTGCTGTTATTACAAAATTCATTTGGAAATTAAAATAATAATAATAATACAAAGAAAAAGGGACAATCTCCCCCTGCACTGTGTTGTTTGTTAGGATGTGTTAAAGGAAAAGAGATGACATCACCCAGGGCTGTTATTTGGAGGGAGGGCAGTGATATCACTGCCAGCCAAGCCCCAGATGAGTCCTGTGGCCATGCCGACTCTCAAATGGCTTTTCTTCTTTCTTTTTCTCATTCCCTGGAAAGAAAGGTAATGTAGCAGAAGAGAAGGATTCTTCTTCCTTAGCTAGATAGCAGTGGATAGCATACATGGAGTTTCATCAGCACTGAGTGGCGTTTATTTTTTTTTTTTTGCACACAGAAATTCCCTCTTGAAACAAATTTGGTTGGGAAAAATTCCATATTAAATATTTTATGTTTTCAGAACAAAGGCTCCAATTCCTATGTTTCCGAGACTTCAGAAATCCTCATTCTAGAGAAATTCAGTAATGCCAACTTTTTATTATTTTTTATTCCATTTTACAATGGAAAAGAGATTCTGAGATTTCCCTAGGAACGGATTTACTTTTCTTTGTAGTGGCTGGTTTTAGTTCATACCCAAGTAATCTGCCATTCTAACAAAAACTTCTGGTCAGATGACGATTCAGGAGCATCTAGTTGCTTTAGGGGTATGTATGTGAGCAGTTCTAGACTTAGAGCTTTCACGTGGCCCTGAAATTTCATTTAAAGGCACGGATGAAACAAACAAAGCAGTTTGACTCCTTCAAACTGATCTCCAGCCTCCACTGTCATTCATGCCAGCTGAGACTCCAATATCTACTGGGCAGCTCTATATCATAGTCTGATGAGTGGTGCTGATATCAGGCCTCTCCTCGTGATAGCTGCCGTACAAAACAGGAGATAAGCTAAGACTAGATGAAACAGAGGTCAGCATTAAAAGAAGATGCACAGAGAAGTGAAATGACATACTCATGTTCACACCAGAAATAGTAGCAAGATCAGGATTACATTTCAGGACTTCTGAAACTCAACCCAGAACTGTGCCATTAGCTGATATTTTGGTTTGTTGTCATGGGATATAGGGGAGGACAAATCCTCTCTTCCAAAAATCAGCCCTGCTCATGTGAGTTGTATTTATCAAATTGATAAGTTGGTAAGTAGAATTGTGCGCTCAAAAATGGGGCTTTGTTCAATCAAAAAAAGAAAAAAAAAAAGTAATTTAAGTTCGATCACTTCATTGTGCTTGCTACATTAGGAGATGTGAAGTTTTTCACATGCCACTGCATATTACCAGCATTTTATCAGAGGGATGAACCTATGACCTTTAACATCAAAGCCTGGGCTTCATCACTAGAGTTAATGAAAGACCTGCAATCCATGTTATCCTTAGGTGACCCAACATGTGTAATGGGAACAGGACATTATATACATGTATTTATATACATACACACACACACACATATACATAAATATATATATAAACATACACACACGTGAATATATATACTGCTGTAGAAAGAAGGGGAAAACGCATCTCAGGAGAGTAAGAGTTAAATGAACCATCAGTAGGTGAATGCAAAGTTGCTTATGCAGACATTTTCTTGTAAAGATCTGGTCTCTGTCTATACATTAAGTACATGCAGAGACTCGCTCTATCCAGATTGACAGCTCTGGCATTATACATCTGTGAGGAAAGGTTAAACAGCATCATGGCACCACTTGGAAAGACTTAATAGATGGAATTGTACCTTCCTAGTCTCCCACATTGTCAAAGGTAAACTGAAGTGGGAAATTCCAAAGGTCTCATAAACAAATTTCTACCTCATGGACAGCGTTAAGCTGTCATGTCAAAAGGCTGGGCTGGGGACTGATACTCCCAGATTGAAGGGAGGAAAGAGAAATAGGCAACATATATCAAAAAGTGATTCTTTACCTTTTCTGGGGCAGGAAAGAGGTTCCCTTGGCTCCTTCCACACAGTCCATTCTCAAGGAATCAAAAGAAGTAACTCCAAAGGAAATAAAAAAAAAAGAAAAAAGAAAAAAAACAAAGAAAAAAAAAGGGTAAGATCAGGGATGGGAGGGAAAAAGAAGAAAAGCTTTCTAAATGTCAGTTAAGGCACTCAGAGAAATGAGTGCAGAAAGACAATATTTGCCATCCTTTTCTGAGTACAGCTTTACAGAAAGTGAATGCAGAGTTTCTTTTTACTGGGACACTGTGACACTGGCTGAAATATTAAATTTCTGCTTTCCAGGGTCAGTTCCCTGCTGATGTACACTAAGTGATGCTGTGCAACAGGTGGAGACATGGTCTTCAACATGTTGAACTCATGACAAGGGTCTTGCTCTTTCCTTTTGCCATCGGCCTCCCACCCTCCATGCCTACCTCCGCTTGGACCCTTTAGGGAACCTCTTGGTCTGAGGCACCTGCTTAGGTCAGGCTTGAAGGTCTGCAACACGGCAAGGCAGGTGTATTTAATTTTGCAAGGTTTCAGCCCCACTGGTTCTGCAGGGGGCACTGCTTACCAGCTGCCTCATTTTACCAAGCAGGTCCTGCTCAGCACTGTGCGGGGGAAAGCTTAAAAGGGAGCTGCAAGAGAGGAGGATGAAGTGGGTGAGTGGGGAACCTGTTCCACACTGAAGGGCAGAGGAGGAGATAGTGTAAATTGTATATTTATTTCTAAATGCTGCTTTCATTTCCATTGTCTTCTGTAAAATGATGGACTTGTTGCATCTCAAAGCAAACTAATCAAATCAAAGTATCCAAAACAAGTTCAGTATATAAAACCTTCTCCTCCCTCTTTCCTAGCATCCATGCCTTCCAGCATCTGGATGAGGGAGTGGGCATGCCCACAGGCCCAGGTCTTCAGGGTGCCCATCAGAAATCCCTTATCTCTTTGTGGTGTTCAGGCAGCAAGTGCCAAACAGGTTTCCTCCGTATCCATCAGATCACCTGGCAGAGGTGTTTCTGCTTGTCGAGGCAGGCGGGGCAAAGAGAAAACAGAATCGAGCCCCAAATTCGGTTCAGTGGAGAGGTGCTGGGGATGAGGTGTTGCATTTGTGTTGTACTTGGGCTCTGCACATGGGCAGCGCTGCCAGAGCGCCTGGCACGCTGGGCAGGATGGTGCAGCGGGCTCTGGCCAGGAGCCAGGGCAAGAGATTAGGCAACATTACAGCAGAGGACTGTGGGTTCATCGTGTCTCAGAAACCTGGCAAAACAGACCTAACATCAGGGACATCTCCTCTGGTCAGGCTTGCTAACACCTCAGAGCGGTCTCTTCTTTTTTTCTTCTTTCTTGAGAGAAAAATCCACCAAGATGTCTGCAAAACTATGTAGCAGTTGATGGTGCATGTCAATTCCCACTAAATAAATTATTCTTGAAAACTACTTTTGTATTTTTTTTTCCTTATATGTTTTGTTTTTTTCCTGGTATCACTTGCATCTTGACTGAGATGGTCCCCCTACTCCCTTTTTTTCCTCCACTTTCATAAAATTGTTTTGTTCTGATAAAACTTGTTCTGATATTCTTCCTTCCTCACTCCTTGAGGCTGGAACTAAACCAATTCAATTTTTGCTGGGGAGCAAAATAATAAAGAGAAATCCCCAAAGCAGTGAATCCACCAAAAAGACAACCAGCAGCAAGAAGCATCTCCCTCCCTCCTTGCCCCCATCAAATGGTTCTCATGATTCTTAGGTCAAATGTATATGTGGGAGCTTCCATGCATCAAATTTCCATTTTACTCATTCAAGTAAATTTTCTTTGCAAGCTTTCTGTGTAGCCTGAAGCACACAGCTATTTTTGATCTTTCTATCTTTTTGAGGGCGAGGCAGAGTCAAGTTACCTTGTCATCAAATTCTCATTTTGGCAAGGAGGGTAGTGGGGGTGAAGAAACAGAGGACTTTATAGCAATAATCACTAACCAAAACACTTCAGAGTGCCTGAACTTGTTACTGCGTCTGTTCAGTTCTTCGACAATATGTCAAGCAGAAAGAAAACAGCTTAATTTTTCACAAGCCTGGTTGCTTTCTGAAGCTAATAACAACACGGCAACTTGTTTGAACTAGTGAATGGAGGGAACATGCTATTAATACCAGAGTCACAGTGCCCCGTCCCCCACAACTCACCAGATGTCTGAATTTAAACTGTCACCTCACGTATCACATCAGTTTCTATGGACAAAATCTTGGTCTGTGTTCCAAATGCCCTAGAGGCACAGAGCTGTTCTTGCATGGTCTTTGATATGGTCTGTTAGTAATATGGTTGTAAAATGCCATGTGCATTTATAGTGCATTATTATTAATATAGCTTCTGTTCCCATCATTTTTTACTATTATTTATGCATTTATTCCCTTTCACGCAACTTGATTGCTCTGGGGACTGACACATTGTACAAATCTTTTCACCTCTCTATCAGCAGTCTCAGCCCAGTTTAGTAACCTGCCTGCTCACCTTGCTGGTAGATTGTATGGCGAGGTTATGCATTCACATCAAACACTGAAATTTATTGGAAACCAGAGAAGGATTCTGGGAAAACTCTAGAGGAAAATGAAATAAATCCATTCCCCCTGGAATTTGGATGTGGAACTTTTTGAATGTCTTGTCTTCCCTGTCATCCAAAAAAAGACTCAAAACCCCCAAATGTTTGGGCCAAACCCTTTTTGGTCTTCATCAAAAAGTCAAAATTCCTGTGGAAAGAAGACACTTTTCAAGAAAATGTACATTTAATCAAAACTGCAATTTCCCAGCAAAGCCAATGTTGACTACAGCTGTGCTGAAGCTGAGAGAGGCTGCTGGGCTCCACCACCTCCTCCTGCCAGCAGATTGTCCTGTGCCTCTTGACCTGGGCCTCAGTGGGGAGAAGAAAGTCAAGAGCTTTGATTTTCTGAGCAGTCAGGTAATAAGCGAGAGCGTGGTTTATGGAACTGGAGACAAAATAGGGCCTACGGATGGTGGAGAAATTGCAGGGAGGCAAGAGGCCAAAGGGATGAAAAAGGGTTTGCATGGAGTGAAGCTGTCTTGCATGCTGCCCTGGGTTTGTATGAGTTTATTCCAACTCTTTGGGTTGGTGTAACTTCTTAAACAGGTCATTCACCCCGATGGTGTACTCCCCTGGGATCCGTCTCTGGTGAAGTCACCCACTACAGTCCCAGGAGCCTTTTCCCCAAGGCAGCTGAAAGGCAAAGTTAGCAGCTCTGTTTCCAGAGACCTTGTGCACATGCATACCTGTGCATAGGGGTCAGCACTACTTCCAGACACATTGTGCATTTCTGCATTCTTTATGGTTTCTTTTTTCTTTTCTTATTCATTTTTTTTTCTTTTCCCTGAGATCTAAAATTAAGACATCGTGCAGATGGAAAACATCTGCCTGTTCTTTGTGCGTGGAAAACATAACACATGGCAGGGATGATAAATAATAATAAATAATGATGATGATGAAAGCATTTTGAGAGGCTCAATGGTTTGATTTGTCCGGAGCAGGCATCACACACTCTCTGTCAGGCCTAAGGAGGATAAATAGACTGCTGTAGTTTAAAATTTTGCAAATGGCAACATGGTTTTGAGACATTTAGGAGGAGCAGCTGCTGAGCATGGCTTGTTTTGTCATGGGTTTGTGCTTAGGAGTGCAAATATAACCTGCATTCTCCTGAGTACAGGTCTGTCTATGTACAATTTGCAAATCAGTCTCTCCTAAAACTAACACAGCTAGGCCCAAAATGACACACACTCCCACTGACGTAATATTTCTCGTGTCTACGTTGTTACCTGATACAGGGTTATGAAATCCAATCTATATGACAAGTCATATATTTGCTTCCCTGAGGTTATCTCAAAAAAGTTGTAACTTTTCACCCAGAAGGCATAGTTTTTAGTGTCTCCCAAACATCCATGCAGCAATCAGCTCTAATTGTATCCCCATGGACCTCACCTAGACCTTCACCGGGGTCCACCTAAAAACCTCTTCCAGGGCTTGGGTTGTGCCTGGTCACCTCAGACTGTAAGTAATGACGCTGTAAAATCCAGTGAGTGTTATCTGATGGAGGGGGACAACAGGGATTATTTAATGAGATGCTGAGTCTCAGCTGAGTTTCCAGAATGCAGGTGCTCAACTTAATATCTGCCAGCAGGTTGGTGCTCTCACTGCCTTTGTAAATAACTAGGCCCAAATGACTCTTAATTTTGAAAACGTTTCAAGGAGTGATATGTCTACAGACAAAAAAATGAAAAAAAAAGAAAAAAACAGATGGTGGAGAAGGAGTACAGTGTACTGTCAAAGGAAGGTCCATGTCTAAGTAAGAAAAGGTATTCAAGGTATTCTGCCCACAGATTGATATATACATATGCATGCAGGTCTGAATAATGGCAAAGGGAGTGTGCCAGGACTGGATATATTTGCTTCGGACAGTGACATCAAATGTTTCAAAGGACAGTAACTTACCAGCAATTTTCATCTGTTCACAACACATACTTCTAAGACTCTGAGATCTCATCTTCCAGGGAAACCATCCCGTCATGTCTCAGGCAGGCTGATTCACAAAGGGAAGAATCACTGGAAAAAGCCCACCACTATCCTCATGACAACGCTGTGTGTGTATATTTGTGTGCACTTTGACGGCATTTTTATGTAAGCATTCAGAGCGTAAATACAGCATAGCATTTCCTCTTTTTTTTTTTTTTTTTTTTCCCTTGGTCTGCTGGAATGCTTGAAGCTTAAGACACCAAAAAAAAAAAAAAAAAAAAAGCGAATCAGAGCTGAGCAACAAGAGAATGATGATGCAATGATATTGCAGCAGCAAAAGCAAAACGATCTGCTAAAAATACACCAGAGGGATCTAAATATTTCCATAAACAGATGGAGGTCAGGGCCCAAAAGGAAGAAAAAAATGCAAGTAAAGGAAATTGTATTTGACAACCATAAGGGTCTTATAGTTCTTCTGTGTCTTTTATCCCAAAAGGTTTTTTTTACAGATGCTTACAGTTGGGTAAAAGAGGAGTCTGATCCCACAATGCTTTACTCAAACGAGTAACCCTAATTTATGTTCATAAACTCAAAGGGGCCAATGGAACTACCATGTGAGCAATAGCTTGCATGAGCTCTTTTAGAGAAGGCATCTGGCAGTGCTTTATAGTGAGGGCTGCAGAGCAGTTTCCATGCTAAACCTCTCTTTTATTCATTCTCATAATTATTTTTTTTTTCTGTTTTAGAGCATTTACATTTTCAGCTGAAGTTTTCCAAACGTAGTCCATGCCTGAATGTGAATTTTATTGCAAGTGCATGAGGAAGAACAGTTTTCAGCCTGGCTGGAAAAATGTGTTTTCTCTTAAAGAAAAAAGTCTGAGCCTCTTCCTGCGCCATCCTCCCCCTTTTATCTAAACAAATAAGAAAGGGCTAAATATTCATTTGCGGAATTGTCCTATGGGGAGCCAGGGATGTTGAAATTTGATGAGCTTTCAACATCAAAAACATCCCAGAAATGTATCAGAAGGTAAATTTGTAGGTACCTGAAATCCAGAATATGTTCTGCGGGGGTGAAAGGGTACCAGAGAGCTGCATGGCACATGCTCCTTTGAAGCCAGAGGCCTGTGCTCAAGCCTTGCTTTGATCTTTCTTGCCCAAGCTCACCCAACTGTGAGTGGGAACCTGTCCTTCTGAACGGGAAACCAAAACCAGGTGTCATACCAGCTGTAGCATTTCCCTGTGGCCTTGATGGACCACCACGACTCAGGACAGGATCAGGATTAGGAAGTAGGATTAGGAAGTGGCAGCATAAACTGCTCTCCTGGCTGGAAGCTGCTGTCTCCCTGTATGAATCCAACACAAAGTCTGAGAGGTGCCCACCTAGGAAATGTTGGTTCTTCAGTTGCTGCAGCTCATCTTCCTGGTGAGGATGACACTTTGTGAATCTGCAGCAAGAGTCATTCTCAGCAGAGGCAAACAGAAGGAAGTTGAAAGCATCTGCAGAACAAAAAACTTCATCTGTACAAATGTTTTCTTCTGGACAAAACAAAATAGATCACATTCATAAAGTAAATTTTTGTTTGTTTGTTTTAGTTGTTCAATTTTCATCTCTCAGCCATGTCTGATGATCATCTTAGTTACAAGGGCTAAAAAGCAATTTCAAAATAAATAAAAACTAAGCACACTAAAATGATATATTTTGAGAATAGTTGGCTTTAGATTTCTGAATTTCACACTTTCTAAACAAGAATCTGTCCAAACCTAGACATTTCTAGGAAAATGTAGTTCTTTTAAATAAAGTTTTTCAACAGGAAAATATCTTGGAAAAAATTTGTCCTGATCTCTTTTTTAGACAAACATTAGTGACCATTCCATACAGCACTAAAAAGGCCAGGTTATCCCATCCAGCCATTCATATGTACGCCTCCAGATAGTTTAGCGAATATGGTTTTACTCAGATTAATCCTTGCTTTGTACATTGCCCAATTCTTCCTTGGCACATTGCATGAGTGTCGTAAGCTATAGGAGTCAGACCAGAAGGTCTCCCAGGTCCCTTCCAATCTAGCTTTGTGATTCAAACCACAGCATACCATACAAAATGCAGTAAACCCATCCAACTCCCTGTGTCCTGCTGAGGACAGTGCTCTAATTAACTATGTTCACAATGACAAGAACTATGCACCTGTAATTATACACCCTAAAAAGAAGCTGAGATTACCAGATATGAGGCTTGAGGGGCTGATTACAAGACATTCATGTTAAAAGGACCTCAAGCACAGTTTTAAAGTTATGAATAATCAGTGCCATGCTCCATGAAGATACCAGAGGAACTGCAATTTCATCCCTTAAAATGTTGTCTAAAGCCAAACTGAACACATTTCTGTTTGTCTGCTGGGGCAATAACAGATAGGAATGCTTTGGTTTCTTGAGTCTCTCTCTCTCTCTTTTTATTTATTTATTTATTATTTTTATTTTTATTTTTGAGTGTGGTTTTGCTGAAATGCAAACTGTTTGCAACCTATAAATATGCCTAAGGTTCTGTTCTAAGGTGGAAGTTTTCTTCCACAGCTCTCCACGGTGACAGGAGGAGTGGTCAGACCTCCTGTGTTACCAAAATGAAATCTTCCTGAGCCTCTTTTCTTGATGTTTTCACTGCTGTGAAGCTGAAGATAACTTTTTCTGTGCCCACTCTACACTCTGGGTGCCTCATCCCCACTGGCTGATACACTCCAGGCTGTTGCTGTAACTTTAGTAGGAAGAAAGCTATATGAAAACACAGCAAAAAACGTCGGTGATACCCTAAAGCTTTGTGCTGGGAAAGCCCCAGTTTGCTGCAGATGGCTCCTCTCCCTTCACTATGTACTGAGGTAAACTCCCAGCCTGGGCTTGGCTCACTCTGCCTTGTGAAGAGTCATTGCTGATGTTGATTTATTTAGCGGTTGAGTGGTAGGTTTTGGAAGAGGCAGGAGGAAGCTCTCCCTTCCTGTTCACACACAGCTGTTCTCCTCTGAGACCCATCTGGATTCACTGGAGGACCACTGGCCTCTTTGCCAGAGCTCTATCACAGGCAGTGTTTACAGCTGTCCTGCACGGACAACCAGTGTGTGGTCTGAAGCTATGGATGAAGAAGCGAGACAAGTGCATTCCATGCAATTTATTCTCTCCACATCTCCCAGAGCTCCGCGAACTCCCTGATATCAGCTGTCACAAACCCTCAGACCTGGATGAGGCAGGACAACACAAGACTGGTTGTGCGGTGCTACCGGTACTCCTCGCAGGATTGTACACAAGATGTATCCGTCGGGAAGGACTGCAAGCCAGGCTTTGCCTTCAGAAGCAGCCAGCTCCCATGGTATTTGGAGCCTTAAAAAAAAAATAAAAAAAAGATCTGAGGCAGAGAGGAAGCCGAGTGCATACACGAGTTCTCTGTCTCTGTGGCTGGAGAGGTATGGTAAGGGTTACAGGAGCTTCTGGCATCTGCCTTTTTTAAGAAACCTGCCAAGAGAAAAGGGCTCTGCAAAGTTCATGTCTTTAAAATGTAAGAACAAAATAAAAGTATCTGCAAAGCTTCTGATCTGTGCAGATGAGGAAGGACTGGCAGCAAGGAATTCACCTGAGGTAATGCCATGGAGGAATTCTGCCCTCACTCATCCTGGTGCAAAACAACGATACCACCTCTTGGCCCACCCTAGAGGCTACAAATGGGCCTGATTTCAAACACTTTGCACACAGGACTATCAAAACCCTGCTGCTCACAGTGGTTAGGAAACACTATCCAGATTCAATGGGTGGATACTTTCAAGCTGCCACTACCATACTATTAGTAGTGGCTGTAACACATAGGTAGATTCAAAGCCTTTTAAAAAGCATCAAAACCTAAAAACTCTTCGGGTTTCTGAAGCCAGGCTTCCAGTACAGGTGGTGGCTTGTCTCTGGTAACTTGTGTGGCAAACCATGTCATGTAATGCCTGCTCTCCTTCTCAGCAAAGTGGGTAGGCATGCTATTGTAAGCTAAGTCACCAAACTGCTCACATTTCTTTGGGACATTCTGCCTATAGCTGCCTATAGCTGCACACATTAAAAGGCCCCTGTTGTCCTGATTCAGTTTTTATTTTCTCTCCATTTGTTTATTTATTTATTTTGACCAAAGGGAGACTTGTATGATGAAGCCAGAAGAGCTGGTGAAAAGATTGATTTCCTGGATTGTTTTAACATCAGGACCTGGGACAACTGCAAAAGTTCATCACTGCTCTCCAAGTCCTTCACAGAACTTTATCTTGCTTTACTTGTAATTTATTTTCAGTAAAGGACTGCAAGGAGAAGGTGAAGGCAGATTTCAGTATAAACTGGGATGTTTGAGGAGTTGAGCTCAGACCTCAGTGGCATGGAGTTGCAGTAGAGAAACTTGCACAGCTATATCTGAGGAGGCTTTGAGGAGAGGAGAGAGGGAGAGGCAGCGTGAGCGAGAGGCGTAGAGTGCGAGGAGAGGAGAGGCGAGGAGAGGAGAGGAGAGGAGAGGAGAGGAGAGGGGAGAGGAGAGGCAGGAGAGGAGAGGAGAGGAGAGGAGAGGAGAGGAGGAGAGGAGCGGAGAGGAGGAGAGGAGAGGGAGGGAGGAGAGGAGAGGAGAGGAGAGGAGATGAGGAGAGGAGAGGGAGAGGAGAGGCAGGGGAGAGGAGAGGGAGGAGAGGAGAGGCGGAGAGGAGAGGAGAGGAGGGAGAGGAGCAGAGGGGAGGCGGGAGCGGAGAGGAGAGGAGAGGGAGAGAGAGGAGGAGAAGGAGAGGCGAGAGCTGGATAAGTTCTAGGGTCAGGTGTCACCGCATTACCTCCTTACTTCCTTCCTCCTTCATTCCTTCTCCTTCCTTCCTTCCTTCTTCTTACTTCCTTCCTTTTCTTCCTTCCTTCTCTTCCTTTCCTTCCTTCCTTCCTTCCTTCCTTCCTTCCTTCCTTCCTTCCTTCCTTCTCAGTGAAATCCATACTTTGACGAATACACCTGAAGCACACTGATAACATGAGCTTATGGGAGCCTGCATGATGGATTTCAATGAATAGTCCTTCCATCAAGCCAGAATTCATAAGAAGTTCACTTCTGTCTGTCAGGGGACTGTCTGTGGCAGGTTCATCCATCTCCAGTTTAAACCACTCTGTTTCACGCAATTGTGGTCCAGTTCTGCTCCGAGTTACACCCATTGACTTGAGCAGATCCACATGAATGTTAACAACAAAAAGTAAACAAAACAGAATTTAACTCTATTGATTTTCCTAATACACTCATCAATGTATGTTACAAATGTGAAATCCCAGAAGCGTTAATTCTGGAAATATCTGTCCACAATAGTCAACATAATTCACCAAATGGAAAGATGGAGATTCTCCAGGATTAATAACATGGAAAAGTATGTTATTTGTTGTGATAAATATTTGGAAGGCAACTTTATTGTCAGGAGTATAAAGACCCACCCGTTACTTGGAAAATCAGTACAAAGCAACAGAATATCTCACTTTAAGAAAAACATCAAGGAGAAAAGAGGAAGTTATCCAAGAACTGGGGAAACTTGACCAGGGTCTGCAGGGATTTTAAATTTCAAGACTGTTTGTTGTTTAAACTGAGTCACACCGATGCAACAGAGAATTTGTCCTTGGCAGCAGAACTGTTAGAACGGAGAGTTAATGCTCCCTTGTGTCAACCCACTGAATCCGGGTCATCATGTCTTAATTAAATTGTACATGCTATGAAATACCATTGAACGTCAATCCGGTTCCTTAGTGTATAGAATATTATTTTTATTTATAGGGTTTGGCAGTCACTTCTGGAAAATAAAAAAAGCTATTGAAATATAAAGGTTGCCCATTAACAAGAGAAAACCGCTGTCATGCCCATTTGGGTGAGACTTCTGCCTATGGGCCATCTTTTCACACATTAAAGATCTTCACTGCCTTGGCCATGTGCAATTCAGTCTTACTGGGATGATGATGCATGCATAGATAAGGTAGGATTTTTGTTTATAATAACTTCACCATGATGCACCCCATCATGCAGCATGAAGTAGGAAACTATTTTCAGATTTTCTTCTATTGAAATCTCTCATAGCTTTGGGGTGCCAATCAATTGCCTGAAAGTTCAGGTACCTGAGACAAATGAAGGAAAATGCTCTTCCCTCCTCTCTCAGGCTGCATCTAAAAGAACCCACGCTGTGCATATCTGGGTGACTTGAGCAAAATTTTAGCAAAGCTTAAACATTCGGTGCCCTCAAAATCATTCTCTGAAATTTGTTTCACAGAGGACGGACAAAGCAGCAACTGCATTAACTCTGCCTATATAAAAACATTACATATATCTAAAGAATAACTATTCTAGTGATGCAGCCAAGAATAACAGCAAAGCAAGTCAGATTGGTAAAGATGGGATAGATAGAGAAGATGCCAAACTAAACACGGTTTGGTTATGGCTACACACTGTCCTCTGCCTTCAGCTTTCTCTTGCAGAGAATTTCCTAGAAGAAGGCCAGAATAAATGGTACTGTCTAGCTTGGTAGTTCACTGGATTTAACTCTTTCCTGGATTGTGGGGTTGTGTTCCTCAGTTGGCTTTAAAACGTATGCATACATGTGTCAGCTAAATTCTGCTGATGTTTTTGAACAAGATGTCAATGTTTTTATTTTTCCTTCGTGGAAAAAATAAAAAAGTAATTAATAGAAAGTCTCTTTCACTTGCCCTGTTGATATTATGCACTCGGGATGTTTAAAACCAGGATGAATTCCAACCTAGAAATGATTCTGTGTGATTCTGTGAATAAAACCTGCAGAATACTGAAGTTGCTACAGTGACCACAGAGTCTTTCTCTGGATCCCCATCACAGTAACCCGAGATGGAGGTAACAACACAGAAAGTGTCATGTACCGATGTCCTTAGCCTGCTTTTATTTATTTATTTATTATTTGTTATTTTTAAATTTATTTTTATTGTTAATTTAATTATTCTATTTATTTGAACACACTAGTGAGAACATATATATATATTACCAGGTAGTTTTATTTGAACTGGTTTGAATACATTTCTGGGCCAGTGCTAAAGCAACCAGTCCCCAGGACAAGGTAAAGGGAATCATGTTGTGCACTGTGCCTTGTCTGAAATGGCCACAGATGCAACTCCTTGCAGGGTGCCTGTGAAGGTGGGGTACCTAGGCCACAGTAAAGCCCTTCTGCGACTCCTGCAACATTTCTGCATTCACAGTAGCCTATGAATATCGACGTAAAACTCTGGATTGCCATAAGAATAAGCTTAAACTTCTGCTGGACAAGAAGGTATCTCCATCAGTCAGTTAATAAATGACACATAGTCTGCCTTCCTTCTGTCCCTGGCCAATCAAATTAAACACATAAAACCAAACTCTGCTCTGTCTCTTAAAGAGTACTTTTCCCAACAGTCTGAACTGGAATAATGAGAACAGTGGAAGGGCAGGCTCAGGAATGATTCATTAACTGCAAAACAGGGGAAAATTCATACCAAATGTTCCTTGTAACTGCCCTGCTGCTTCCAACAGCCTTTCTTGTGTCCTATAACTGAGGGGTCAAACCTGATGTTAAACTTTCACATAAGCTCTGTACACATAAGCATGGGGACCGTGTGCCTGCAAGATGCTTCCCACAAGCACATAAAGCCTGCTGTGCGTTGCTTAAGTAGTCAGCTCCTTTAGTTGCCGGGTCTCTTTGGGAACCTAAGTATGGGCATGCATATTCAGCCAAATATCCATGCAGACAAGTAACAAGTACATGCTGAGGGAAGAGTGTAAGACCATGGAAAATGCACAGTGACCCATCCTAAAGGCAAGTTTCAGTAATTTCCAGCTTAGGGAAAATACCACAAATTCATACCTGGGAAATTCTATGCTAGATGGTGGATTTAGCTTGCAAAGTTGAAGAGCATTGAAGACTTTGAAATGCTTTACTCTCAAGGTCTTTAAAATTGCGGCCAAGAGAACTTTATCTCAAGACGTAAGCTAGGCAATGTAGCAGCTGTAATTTCTGAGCTGAAAAGAAACATAAAAGAATCAGAATCCCTGAAATCTGTGCCTGCTTTCTGATAGTCTGTAGAGAAAAGTTGAGGTAGGACATCTTCAGGAGGCGACCACCATTAGAAGTAGAGCAGATCTCATTTTTATGCCCATCCTCGGAGGAGGGTGGTGGTGGGAGATATCTCCAGGTCATTTGCAACCTCTGAAGCCCCAGTCCTTCTGAGCACAGCAGTGCTAGGACGACTGACACGTCTTCAGAGCTAGAGCTGCTAATAGAGACCTTATGCAACACTGTAGCTGTTTTATGCAAAAATCCATAAAATTATTAAAAGCTTCTGCAGAATCAAAGAAAACTTAAGATGAGAAAGGCCAACAGTTTCTTGGATCAAGCAATATTGTCAGCTCCAATCTTGTTGCCAGGCTTGCCTGTTTCTCTGCTCTCTCTATTAATTTGTTCAGGCTATTTTGAAATGAGTCAGTGATGGTGCTTCCCTCAAGCCTGCTCTGTGGCTTCATAGCTCTTGCTGTGAGGAACATCATCCTCATGTTTGGCCTGCCTTTTATTTGATGATTAACCCAAACCTACGCCCCTCCATTTTTCTGTCTCGTGCTGAACTCATCAAAAATCCCACCCTGTCTCTTTTCTAATGTCTCCAAGTAGCTCATGTTGTTATTACTTTTTCCCATCACTTAGAACATTTCTACACAGAGAAATCAGAACATCTTTCCTTCCTCCTGGTCATTGCTGAACTAGAGCTTAGGGTAAGAAGCCAAGCTAGGAGGCAGGATATGGCTTAGTTTGAAAGCAATACTGTGTTAATGCATATATACAGCTTTCAGAACTGTAACAGGGCTGTTACAGTGACATCTAAGGTTTCCCTTGACATTCCTGTTCTTTCCACCCTGTAATTTTATATAGGGAGCCAGTAAAATAAACGAAGAGCAGACACAGCAAATCTGCCTGGAAGTACGGTGATCCTAGGACTGAGGATCTGGACTATGGTGATTTGCTTAAAAACTGCTCTTCAACTTTTCTGTACTCATGAATTCTCCTCCTGATTTCATATCTGTTGAAGGTACTTCTACATTTTTTAAAAAAAATTTTATTTGTAGACTTAGAAGTAGTCCACAAGTTGGAAATGTAGCCCACAGAGGTAAATCATCACTTAGCCACTGCCTGTTTCTTTCTTGTTCTCCTCTTTTTGTGCTGAAGGCTTCACAGAGTGTTAAGCTGGCAATTAAAAACAGAGCAGCAGTTTTATTAGCCCTGCATGCCATCTTGTTCTCCCAATGTTATTTGCTTATGCTAATTGGTCAGGTATTAAAGAACAAACCCAGAAATTAATTAGTGGTCTGACAGGAATTATAAAGAAATAAAGGCCTTCCATGGGTGTCAGATTTGAGTCACTCACAGAAGCTTACAGAGTGAAAAAATGAAGAAGGATGAATCACGGTCGAAAGAAGCATTTTTGGCCATGGAGTGTGGCATCCAGATGTGTGAGGACTGACTACACTTTTAGTTCAGGGCACAGTGAGTCCTTGAACAGGCATTTCTGCTCTATAAGGGCTCATCACGAGACTTGGCAAGAGTGGTAAGACATGGAAAGACTGTGTTCATGGAAATAGGCTTGATATGGTGAGCTCAGGTATTGAGGCAGTCATCCTGGGAAAAGACAAACCACCTTACCCTTGAAGCAGAATACGTGTCAAGGACAACAAGAGCTGCAATATGGCTTCATATCTCAGCTGTTCCTGGATGAAATTGGGCATGTCCTTTTGTACCCACTGATCTTTTTCCCTCTTGTAAAAAAAAAAAATAAAAAATATAGGGAGATCTCATTCTCTGCACACTTTAGAATAAGGTAATTTTATTTCCCTAGTGTGAAGAATAGAAATTGCAATTGTTAAGGAAACAGTTAGATCATTCCCAGTTGGCAGCAAACATCCTCCAGAGTTGTCACTCCTCTTTCTAACACAGACTATACCTTTTTGAAGGTCTAAGTCACCAATGGGGCCACACAATTTAACAGCGGGGGGCAAAAGCAAAAATCTCCCTTTGGGAACACTGAAAAGGGTTTGTCCCATGGATGGGGCTTTGTTTTCTGTTCTTTCCAGTCTTGTATTGTGCTTTAATTGATCCCTAGTGAAATACTGGATGAAAACTTTTCCTGTCCTGTCACCTTATTCCACCACTTTCTTTCACCTGTGGGCTAGGTCTGCTGGTTTTAATTCTCTGCTTGCAGGTGAGTTGGGATCACTGCATGATCTAAAGAGGAAGCTGTCCTCTCTGGATCTGTTTTTCCCTTATGGACCAGTTAACCCTTTTAGTTCCCACAGGAGGCTTAAGGTTTACACTTAAGGTTTACACCTGTAGATTCATGGGAATACTGGACAAGGTCATCGGAGGTAATTGAACTTCTTGTAGAAAAAAAAAAAACACTCCATGAAGGTATTTAAATACAAAGCTGTCATATTTGGTCCATGGGATCCAGAGCTTCCATGGGATCAACTGGGATCTCCACTGGCTGGAGCTTACAATGCTAGAGAGGGAAGCACAGATGATACTTCTGTTCTAATGTCCTTCCATAGACATCTGCTTTTGGATATTATCTATGACATTTCTACACTGAGCAGTGGCACATCATGGTAAAGATAAAAGAATCCAGATTCAGAAATAGGTGCAGAATCTTGGATGGACGTACACTGAAAAACAGGACTTGGTATTTTGGGAGTGACTGTGTTAGTAAGGCAGGTTTGGATAAAGCCAATATTTCTGCAGGGCCTTATGCCATGTGGATGTCACATCTGAGGTTCCTAGTTGAGGTATCCCTGTCCTTCGTTTGTTTCATTGAAGTTGTCTTTTGGGAGAACCAATTGCTTTTGAAGTCTATGACAGTTTTATTGCTTATTGTTCACTGTCTTTGATGATCATTTGGGAAAAGAACTTCCACTCCATAATTATTGGCCCACTGAAGGATTGTTAGGATCCATTTTCCTACAAAAAACATGGGAAGTTTTACTGAGGAAAGGCAGACAAGTGCAAACTTGCATCGAAAATGCAAGCATCCACTTAGGTATGCAAAACCCTTACAGTCACCAGCCAACACTCACAGCTCAATACATGAACAGCTCAGAGGTTATTTTAGGTGATTCAAAATGGTCCTTCTTGGCTCTGTAGTCCATGACTCCACTATAGAAAGATTTCACACTGAAAAAAAAAGCCCTCTGGTAACCAATTCAGGCAGATAATGAGTCACCCCAGAGATAACAACCAATGATGCCCAGGAGAAAACAGGATTTCAAGTAGAGGCTTCTGATGGCTACAGACAGCAGGAGCCAAAGCTGAATGATGAGATATTACGCAGTATATATGCATGCATGTCTCTGAAATGAACAAGTTGTTTCAAACGTTAGGACTTTACATTTTTTGGCTGCTCTAGCCCAGAGTCTGCAAAACCTCTGCTGAGCATTTGAGCATGCTGCTGCTGCTCTAAAGCAAAGCGATGAGGAGAACCAGAGGAATCTGGCATATACATTGCCGGCCAGAGCACAGTGCAGACATCACTGGATACGTAACCCAGCAATGACCCGCCAAACAGCTGAGAAGAGTAACAGATCTGATACTCACCCAGGGAAAGGTTGCTAGCCCCATCTGTTGCTACTGTTGCTGCTACTGCTATTTTTCAACATCCCTTCTCGCCAGGGTGTTCTCCAGCCAAACACCACGTCCTAGAGAACAGCATGGCATCTGCAGAGCTGCCAAAGAGACAGCAGTGAGCACATCATGGAAAAGTTTGAGGGGGCCCTTCCTCCTGCTTCTGCTGCACATGCTGTCTGGGGAGACAGATCAGTCGAGGAGGCGAAAAGCAACCAAAAATTTGACCAACCTCAGAAACAAAACAATCTCCCACCCAGCAGAGAAGCCAGAGAGAGGAGGTCTCAGATGTTTGAGGCTGTGCCTGAGGATGGCATGAGTCAAGCGAGCATTGCGGTGTCGGGGGCAGAGGTGGAGCCAAAGCTGCCCCTTTCTGGCAGCGACAACCCCCTTGCGTTCACGGCCGTCCTTGCCTGTGCTGACAGCTCCTACAGAGATCACCTCTGGTGCAGCGTGGAGTTCCCATTACTGTCCTTGGGAGCTGAAGGAATGAACCCAAATAAAAGGTCTCGTCTCAGTAAAAGACTTCAGAGGATGTGGGCCAGAGAGCACTCAGAGAAGCGGTGCTTTTCTGAGGCGGGCAGCTGTTGCAACAGATGAAATCCATGCTCACATGGGTGAGAGTGTTGCTATGACTTCAGCACTAAGAAAGTCTGCAGACTTTTTATTTCCTGTTTTAACATTGACATGGCTATTAACAGGAAAATTGACATGAAGTTAAGGCAGACATGAAACAAAGCCTGAAATGAACATGTAAGGTTTTTATTTTTTTCATTTTACCAAGACAGGACTCCAAGGAGTCTGCTTTCTTGGTCAGCTCCTGAAGAAGACTCCTTCCCTTTTATTCACATTAAGTTTGTTAGCAGAATGAGACTGAATTAGGTCTGAAGAAGGACTTCAGGACTTATCCTTCAATGCAGGCAAACCCAGCTCAATCCAAGAGAAGCATGTAGTTTATTTGTGGGAGAGAGCCTTGGGCACTCTGCACGATCCATTTGAGATGGAAGCAAGAGCCTCATCAGAACAGGGAGAACTGAAAGAATTACCAGTGCTGGAATTTAGTTGTGGCACCAATTTTCTTCCCACTGTGAAAAGCAGGAGAGGAGGCATGTGATGAGCATTTTGAGGGTCTTCCCCCCCCCCCCCCCCAAAAAAAAAAAAGACAAAATAGCTCCCCTGTCAATGCTGTGCCAAAAACCAAAAACTACAACAAAAAAATAAATCTCCCTGAAGAAGACAATCTACAGAATCATAGGTACTTTTTTTGACAGCCCTGTATTCAGGCATTAAATAGGCCTGACATCGTTAGTATATAAGAGCTGATGTTTTTGCAGCTTGTAGTGGCATGGCTGGGAGCCATATATAGAATTATATAGACAGGATTAAATGTTTCCAAGGGAAAACATGCACAATGAGAATATGCTCTGTTCTTCCCTAAAGCAACAGGCAGTGTTGCCAAGCTATGCTCAGTCAAGCTGCTGTACGTACCAGGAAATAGGCTTCCTTCCAATGTAAAGCTATAAAACAAGACAGATAAAAGGGCTTGAAATCAAAATAAAGAGAAAGTGGAAATCTTTCCCTAGCTTATATTACTCTCTAGACAGGGCTAGCATTTGGAAGATGCTTCCAATACTATCTGCACCATGGGATCCATGAGCTTCCACCATGCCAGCCCGTGGCCTGGCTTCTGCAGGGTGAAATACCATATGGCCATTCCAAACTGAGTTTACTTTGGAAAGGGGGCAGGTTTGGCAGAAGCCATGCTTTCCTCACTCAGGTGACAGTTTCCTGTCTCTTGATCATGAAGGAAACAGTATGTCCCCCAAGTACATTAGGACATGGTAAAAGTCCACGTCATGTGATATATTTTCTTCTGAGGGATATTTCCCAGTCACCAGTTTGCTGAGGTGAACTGCTCTTCAGGGTGCAGCTACAGGGTACCAGTTAAGACTTTAATTTATGTCTTCATTGACCTTGCCCGTCTCCTGCAGCTCAGTAGATGACCACCTATTCCACATGCCTGTGTAGCATTTTGCTCCGATGCAAGATGGTGCAGACCAGCACCCCTGAGCTGGTAGTGAGTGCCTACCTAGCTGGGAATGAGGGATGACTCTCCTGAAACAGGCCTTTTTAATTCCATGGCTTTTCACAAAGTTTTGAAGGGAAAAGGTGAAGATATTGGCTCTTTACATTGCTTCACATGGAGTGCAAGCATAGAAGTCTCATCTCCCGTCTCTATGCTTGTTTCTCCATTTTCTGTTGGGTGTGAATATTCCACCCCAGAGCGCTTCATGGATAGAAGAGTTGGTAATTGCACAGCAGTCTTGGCATGGCAGGTTACTAACACACCATCATTAATATTGCTGTGTCCTCTCTTCCCCCAGCATTGGTTGAATTCCAGGATGAAGTGAAGGGAGGCGCATGCTGCACACAGACATTCACTCACTTCTCTGCAAAGTTCTTCAGAGCTTAAGCATGGCATAAATCAGTTATTTGCTATTAAGCATAACTGGTTCAAGACAGTGAAGTTGTCTTTGCATAGACTGTGATACTGTTAACAACAGGGAGGGAGAATGTGTGAAGAATATATTCTGCCTTTGAGGGGAAAAGTTGATTTGAATGAAAAAAAAATCTGCCCTGCAGAAAACTCTGGCATTTAGACATTTGTGTTCCACCCTGAATCAGTCCAAAAAGGTCAGCATTTCTCTATTTCCCCCTCTCCCCCCGAATAAAAACTTCCATTTTAAAACACCAAAATGACACAGTTTAGCGATGCCAAAATACTATACTAAAACATTAAATACAGCAATGCAAGCATTGTATAGAAAGTATCAATACACATGGCACTCTCTGATCAAATATAAGTGTGAGCTGGACAAAAAGGAGTTGGAACTGAACGATTTAAGAGACTTGGAATGAAATAAGTCATTCTTGCTGTTATAGCAGCCTGACGTTCTTCAGTCACAAATTTACTCAGCATCACACATTCCCAAGAAACATTTCGCCTCGAAATGGCCCTTTCCAATGGAAAACAGCTTCTGTCACATTATTTTCAGCCAGCTTTGACTGTGGCCAGCAAAGCCCCATGGGGATCATCTGGGGAAAGAGCTCAGTGCATTTGCTTGGGAGTACAGCATCCCCTCAAAAGATGGTGCTACAGATTAAGAATAGACAGCATGGGCCCCAACATCTCAAGAAAAAAAAAAAAAAAAAAAAGAGGAGGAGGATATTTTTTCCTTTTCATTGGCATTGTTTCAGTACAATGCCAGGGTATTCTGAGAACTTCTGTCAGCGCTGCTCTCCAAAACCCGAGGCGCATGCACACATGGCTGAAACTGAGGTCTAACATCTCAAGAACTAGTGCAATCCCGGTGGAACTGAATCACGAAACAAAGCTTTGAAGGAAATTAAATAGGTTTTGAGCAGTGGAATTAACAACTCAGGGACATTGATTAACAATCAAGGACATGTAGTCTTGGTAAAGGAGATTCTTTGAATACTCTTTTGTTTAAGGAACTGCACACTTGTGTTGGACTGATTTGTGTCTGGGACTCTCATGAAGTCTCTGAATCCTCATTTTCTGATGGATAGTAAAGGTCTTGCTCCCTTGCAGCCAGTCTTGGGGAAGGACTAACAACATGTTCTTGATGTTATTCTGTAAAAAGTCATAAAGAATTGGACACTACCACTTTGTCCTCTCCATCACGGCACTAAGAATTTCTCTGGAGACAGTGGATAGACAGACTTATACATCCATACACTAAAATAAAGTGCAAATATATGATCAAAATATTAGGAATAACATGAAAGTTATGCCTACTTCACTTCAGGTAGCACACCTAAACGTATAAAAACAACATTTTTCATAACCTGAAGCCATAGTCATACCTCAATATTTAAACTATATTTAAATTTAGACTACTTAAATTATAACTGCCTGGGTCCTCATTAGTCTCTAATGTAAAGCCTGCCTTAGATGTAGGGCCATCTCCCACCACAAGCAATGCACCTTATGGGTGCAAAATGTTCCCAGCACAGATGTGGCTTGCTGTCCTAGGCTGAAACCAACTGCTTCGTGAGCCTGACATACAGGACACAGGTAGGGCTTACCCTTTTCTTACTCAGGGTGACCTAAGATGCAGGACGGAGTACCTTGATATTCTGGAAATCCCAGAAACTGAATATTCTGCAAACCCCAAAGAAACACTGCCACATGGAATGAACGGGGGAAAGCAGAGATGCAAAGTCCAGTTGCAGGGCTGCAGATGCCTGTCTTCTTTAATTATCATTTTAACAGTGGGGCATTTGTGGATGGGAAAGACAACACCAAGCTAGCCCTTGGACCGATCAAAGTTAGGACAAATGCTTGGGCGTGCAGACCTTTCCGACTGAAACCAGAGGTGATTTTCACTTTTATGTTCGTGTGTATATGTCTCTATCTACACATACCTCCCACTGCAGCTGGAGGAAGGCTACAGAAGGTAGCCGGGAGGCAGCTGCTAGTCGGTGCCACGAGGGTGGGAAACAGCCTGACATTGTCCTAACTGGTTTGTGTGGGACTGAGTCAGAACAGAGCAGGTTGCAACACGGAGCAGCCAGTTCCTCACCCAGCAGCAGGGAGCTGCCAGAGCATCCCCCAGGCAAAGCAGCAGGGCAAGCCCTGCTCTCCTTTCCCTCGCATAACCTTGCTGCAGATGTGTAAGGGGCCAGGATGCACGCAGAGCCGTGACTCAGCGTCAGAGCAGGCCAGCGGAGGGAGGTGAACTTGAGGCTGTTTCAACAGCAGAAGCAGCAGAGAGTCCACAGGGGTAAATGATGGGGGGATCAGACCTGCCACCTCTGCCCAGGAGGGCTTTCTCTGCACTGGTCTCTGTTGGACACATGGGAGACAGTGGGAGGAAAGTTGGGGTTGCTCATCTAGAAGTTGGGGACATTTTCGAGAACCTCAAAACTTTCAAAGTGTCTTCAGCTTGGAAGCAGAGGAAAGGGGGTGACATGGCTGCTTTGATCAAAGCCTTCATGTGAAAGTTACTCTCGGAAATTTGGCTCCAGCTGAGAACAGGCAAGGCAGCCCCCAGGTGCCTGCTCTGCAGGTGGGGGGAAACTGGGCAAGAATCCACCCCAAATCTGGAACAAATGTCCCTACTGCAGCGAGCACTGTGATGTGACCTCTCTGAGGTTACGCCAAGGGTGGCTGGAAAGCAATGGAAAGCACTCAGGAGGAGGTGTAAAGCTGAGGGATCCCGTGTGCTGACGGTGCACGCAGAGGGAGGCAAGCACAGCAGAAGACATGCGACTGTAGGAGCTGCTGTAGGCTTAGGCCTGGGCTTATTGCAAAGATTTGATTTACATTTGGAAATCAAGAGCTGCACAAGCCTGGGGTTTTCCTACTTGCACCTGCACTATGCTACACAGAAAGCAACAAGGCATTCTTTTAACAGGCTTGTGACCACTCGAACAGCACTCACCCTCTCTCATTTTTGGAGCTGCCAGGAGCAGAACAGCAAAGGGGAGTCAGGGAGGTGTTCTCCATGCCTATTTTTTGAAGCCATTACTATATATATATATTTTTTTTCTTTCTTTCTTTCTTTCTTTTTTTTTTTTTTTCTTTCTTCTTGTTCCTTTTTCTAAGCCAAGCCCCAGGACACACATATAAAGACAATGTTGTGGAGTGAGGCAGTATAAACAGGTGAGAAGTGAGTCTGGGGATGTGGGGCTGAGGTTTGCTGGTGGAGAGCTTGTCTTGTGGTCTGATGCCATCACAAAGGTTTGTTCAATTTGTTAATCAGCACTGACAGACTACAGAAAGAGATATGAGCCCGTTATGAGGGAAGGGTGAGTGACAGGATTTCACTTAGGAGTGACAGAATCTGAAAAAAAAAAATAAGAAAAGAAAAAGAGGGGCTTTAAAAACTGCAACCTATAATTAATACAGGGATTGGGCTTGCCTGGGGCTGACATAGAGGCCCAGTGCTTAGGAGAGATAAAAGAGGATTAGATGCTTCACTTGTAAGAACAGCATCCATCAGCTCCAGCAGATAAGATAATTAGTTACAAGGACCGCCAAGCCTTGTGCCTCCGGCATTAGCGGCACGGACGGGCAGCGTGAGTCAGGTTGCTTCCTCGCACCCACCAGCAGTGCACAATTAGCTAGGTGCTGCAGGCAGGGCTGGAAAAGAGAGCTGGAGGCTGCAGCTGGAGGCCAGAGACCGGGAGGTGAGTCCTTTCCATCAGGGTAATCGTTGGCATGGAGGGGTACGGGACTGATCCTGTCTCCCCGCCTGCACTTTACAGAGCGGAGGAGCTAAGAACTTGGGAACAGTGGTGGATTCCTCCTTTCGGTGACATGAAATAGTTCATGTTCAGAACTGGGATGGAATAAATTCGTTATTTTTCGAATTTCGTTAAAATTTATTTGTTAAACACAGCATATAGGCAAACTGCAGAGCTCTCTGCCATGGGATGCATCTCCACCCCAGAATCAGCAAAGATGAAGGAAAGCAAAGTTTCTGCTTTTTCTATTGAACACAAAGCTTATTCAGGGCTACAGGATGGATTATTGTGATTTTTGAAGGGATGTTAGACCCAATACCACACAGCACTGGACAACTTTAATCATTAAAGATCAGATGAAGATCCAATTTAGGCTCTGTGGTTGTTTTATCCTCTGAGGGAGATTCTAGCATTTTAGTCCTTTCTGGGGCTCTGCTGATGCCGCTGACTCCTTGAACCAGGACACGGCATTAGACAGACCTTGGTTCTGCCCTTCTATGTGATCCTATGAAGTAATCTGGCCTATCTCTCTAGAGAAGTCTGAACGGCAACTTCTGTGGTTAGGTGATATCATGTTTCAGGAGTCGCTCCCCGGGTAGCTGCTACCATTTACCTGGCTCTGCAACCCCAAGACACGTCACCGGTGGGAATTCTTCTTCCCACTGTCAAAACCTTTCCTTGATGTCACGGTGCTTACTCATTGCTTGGAAACCTGCACATGCTTTGCCCTCTGAATCAATTTTTAGAAGTGGCTTGGTGCCATTTGCCCTCCCTTGAGCCTTCCAAAAAAAGAGATTCCTTCCAAGCTGGGCAGCTCTGTCTCCCTTTGTCCGGCAAATTATTTATTTATATATATATATTTTTTTTTTTTTCAGGACACAAAATCCCTCTGTCCAGATCCCCAGAGCTATATATATTCGGTGTGCCCTGTTCTCAGATTAGGGCTTGCATAAAAGGAAAACATCTTGCTGTGCTGGATCAAGCATTTCGCAGCATCGTGCCCTGGCTCCCAAGACAGTTTGTCTCACTGGCCAGCTGCCTCTGCATGTGGCTTCAATTGCATCAGCACCTACTCCCGCTCAGTAGTCAGTGGGCCAAATTCTGTCTATACTTGGATCAGGGGACAGCCTCAGCAGAGCTACAAAGGTAAAAACAAAGCTAGAATTGGGCCTCCTCTCCTCCTTCCCTCCCTAAAGAAGCAGGAGATTAATGGGAGTTTGTTTTGCCCAGTGTTTTCTGTCTGAGAAAAGCTATTCACCTCCTGGGACTGTCAGCCCAGGACTGCTCAGATCAGAGCAACCATGCTGGTGCTTCCTTTCTCTCCAGAAGAGTTTATTTTGTGCATGTACATGTATGCTAAAGCAAATTTCTTTTAAAACACGCATGCCCTCAAATGCTTGTACTGTTGTGTCACTGCTGGGGATGGGGAGGTCTGGAAGTTTATTTCAATGCATTGCTCCTGGAAGCAGGTGATTCTCCACGGATTTCCATTTTGTTTATTGGTAACCTGCATAGCTTCAGAGGAAATCTTGAAGGGAAAAAATAACCCCCTTGCAACTCCGGCACTAGAAGGAAAGTAAATCTCTTCTATCAAATGCAATACTTTTTGAAGTCCTAAAGCTATTCTAACTTGACTCTAGAAGAGTTAACAGTGAAATAATTTTGGTGTTCAATCTATCTCCTTAGTTAAGAATTTACTAGCATTGCATAAGCTTCCCGTAACAAGGTAACCAGATATAAATTAACTACTAAAAATAGCTTTATTGCGTTAGTCAATCCCTAATTAACTTGCTTCAGCTGTCTTCAAAGTTGCTATTTAAATCCATCCATCTTCTGGAGGCGTGGAGGATACTGATACACAGACAGGGGTGCATGTCAGCTCATGATAGTTTGTGTAAATTACTGGGTTATATGTGTGTTTGAACACAGTTCTGGGAGTGATGGAAATCAGCCTGAAGCACAGAGTTTGACATCAGGCTTGTTCTGTGATTCTTAAGAAGAAAAGAAAGATAAACTGAGATATTGAAGGGAAATGGTTGAATGTGCTTCCAAATTCTGATTTTTGCAATCGCATTAGATATGCAGTACAAGGAATGTTTTGCTTCTTATTGGAACCAGATTTCTTTGAAACTGTCCCCTTGTCACAGAAAGTCATATATTTTTTTTCCTATGTATTTATGCTCAGTATCACCCTTTCACCCCCCCCCATGCAACAATCTTCTCTCTTCTTTGTATATTCTATGAATATTTGCCACATTCCCACATTCTGCAACCCTTTCCTTATCTCCTCTCCTGTTCCTAGATCTCAGTAAGTGGTTGCGTACCCGTGGCTGGTTCCAAACTCTGGTCCTTCTGGCCAAGCACAATAGATAATTGCTGAGATCATGCTGTAGCTTTTCTCTGGGCAAGAAATCATGAATCTGCCATCTAGCTCCTCTAATCTGCCATTATCATAATCTCTTTGGGATTATACTCCACTGTTTGAAGCTTCTTGATTGAGTCAAATGGCCCAAATAGAAGCATAGGCTTGAAGACATTCATTTGGAGATCATCAATATTATTTCCATTTAGAAATCAAAGCTACGAGTTTAGGGCAAACTTGGGAGGCCAAAGCAAGGAAAACAATGATTCTGTGAAGGTGTTTGGAACAGTCATTTGAATATGATCGGTTTTTATCCATTTTTTTTAATACTCAAGGGACCAAACCCTGGAGATGTTAAAAAATAACATCAAGGCAGCCTAGGGGGAGGGTTTGACCTGCTCATAAATCACGCTCGTCTATCACTGCTAGTGGGACAGCATTTGCTTTGGTTGTCCACACTTCAAAAAGCACCTTGAAGAACAGAAAGGAGTTAAGAAAACCTCAACTTTCAGAATCAAAATCTAAGAAGCTTGCTTTAAGTGAGAGAGCAGACAGACGCTGTCTGCTTTGGTGATCCATAAAACAGCAAACGTGACCCATGACTTTCAAATACCTGTGTGAAGACACAAGACAAACTTAGACCAAAACTGAGGGATGCTGCATACAAGTTAGTGGATTGGATGCGCAAAGCATAATACTGTGATTTTCTGAAAAATCTTCCCTAAGAAACAAAACCAGTCTTTTTTATACCAGTTTCAGGTGTACTCTGCCATTGACTCAGAGGTCCTTACTGTGGGCTCAGCACCGAAAACTTTACACTGCCACCCGTGGGACATTCAGACAGCACCTTGTTTTCACAGCAAGGTTCCCTCCTGTCCTGACCCCTGCTTCAAGATGGGTTTGACTGTGGCAGTCAGAGGTGTACGAAGTGCTTTTGGAAGGCTCTGCAGAGTGACTCAGCAGCTCAGCTCTGGTTACGTGACCTAGAATCGACTTGGCACAAAACCTGCCTGTTCTCACTGCTGGGCCACGGCTCTGCCAGCTGCAGGTCAGCTCACGCTCACCCTCCCTCGCCCTGTCCCTTCCTCCAGGAGTCTGCTTTGCCTTCATTTATTTTTTATTTTTTATTTTTTTTTAAGGCACCAAAGTGCCTTTGCTTGGCCTGGGCTCTTCCCTTCCAGTTCTTCCAAGTAGGACGGATCCAGATGAGTTCTGGTCCTGTCTGAAGACAATAGGTGGAAGATATCTTTCCCCCTGCCTCCCCCTGCCCTTCCCACCCCCATGCTCCTGTTCTGCATAAGCCCTTTGGAATTCTTTTAATCTCCAACCCTTGCAACTCAACTGCTTCTTCCTGTCTGGATCACAGTTGAAAGCCCCATTTGTTTAATTTGGCTTTTAATTGACCTCATCCAACAATTGTTGATGTCTCAGCTAATCTGTGTTTCTCTGCTGCTTATCTGGTGCCGTCCTTTGAAGTCCCCAACACGATAAAATGTCCTGTAAGAAGAGAGAACAAAAGATGACTGTGACAAAATTTTTCATTTAGCTCTCACTGTCCGGTCAATATTTTAATTGTCCCTCAACATTGGGACCAGAGGGAGAAGGAGAGAGACTACCAAGAAAATATATAATAATTTATATCAACCCTATTTAAATGGAGACTTTTGTGATAATCTTTTCTAAATAATTGCATCATTCAACTCTTCATCTATCAATAAAAGCAAGTAGCATGAGCCTGCTCTCAGCGGAGCTATTATAAAGCCCAAATCCCTCAGAATTTATGAAGTGTTTAGATGTTGTTGGGTGGGATGGAAGCAAATGTGTTGCTGACAGTGCTGTTTGCAGCTACCAGGTTTGCCTAGGGCAGCTGGGGGGGAGTTAGATGTAGAAATGCCACTGAAATGGCAGATAGGGAGAAAAGATGGATGGATGTTATAGAAAGCACATAAGGCTACCTACTACCTTACCTACATAGTAGGTAAGCCATTTCCCTTCACCCTGCTATGTTTGGAGAGGCTGGGTTGTGATGGGATTATGATGGGGGTTTGTCAGCCTCTTTCACTTGTCCTTGGTTCATGCCAAAGAGCAGGGCCAGGTCTGACTTCTGAGCTAAATGTCTCTTCATCCAGTTGAATGCATTTCTGAGGTGGTGAAAACTGTCCAAACCCATAAAAACGGGTGCCACCATCTCAAGGCCTTTTGGCTTGCTCTGAACTCAAATACATCTACTGGATTCCACACAGACATAGACAAGGAGCTTGGATTTAAAAAGGAGCCTTAAGAACCTTGGACTGCTGCTAGATATCTGAAAAACATTACTTAAGAATCTGCTGTTAGTGCCTAATGTCTACTAAAAACTAATGGGATTTGGGCTCCTAAGTGATAGTATGTGTTCTTGCCTTCAAATATGAATGTTTTAAAGCTTCCAATCCTCAAAGTTTGAAAGTGCAAGACAAATTCATCCCTAGTGTAATGGATACAGATCCCATTGATTTCAGCTTTTGGGAGATTATAGTTATGAAAGTGTTCTGTCCAAACTTTGCAAAGAAATAAAAGACTTTGCAGAGGCACAGCAGGGAGCATTACAAATCAAAGGATACATTCTGCAAAGCTGTTTGCTCATGAGTCATTGCATGAACTGAGTCCAGGACTCAGAGGAAATGAAAGGGTCTTACTACAAGCAATATACCATTGAGTATGTTTGTATATGTGTGCAAACCTCAATCTTAGCTCCAGAACCATCACAAAGATTAAAAATGTCCATGGCAGGAATTTAACTCAGTTCTGTCGGATACAAGCCTGTTATTTTCATCTTGAGACACTGAACTCTACTGTTCCCTGTGCAACTCAATTCTGAGTTCAAGAGCTTGACATTCTGAGCTATTCATTGTTGATGTTATTGACTCTTAAAAATTACTGTCTGACAATGCAGAGAAATGCTCTAAAAAGTGCAATGCAATGGAAGCAGAGGATCAAACTCAGACCTGTGCCAGGAAAGGGAAAGACCCTACCCCCAGGTATTCTCCACACATGCACAGCTAGGCATTTATAGCATTTATAGATTGAGACATACGCATTTTTTTCTTAATCTTATAGATCCTCACGCAAATTTTTTGACAGAATTGCAGCATAAAAATCATTGCTGAAGGGCACAGTGAGAAATGTTTCAGCCAAAATAAAATGTTCTAAAAGCAGTTTTCTGGTGAGTCATTCAATGTCCACTCGAGGACTTAGAAAAGTTAAAAGAACTGCATAAAAAAAAAAAAAAAAGGAAAAAAAAAAAAAGCTCTGCTTGTCACCTTTGCAACATTCAAATTGTGATCTCCTGAAACAGGTCTTTTCTAAATGGCAGCCTTTTCAAATTCATTTGTGGTGTGATTTCTGGATGAAAAAGAAAAAAAGTTTCCTGCCTACATTCCCCTTCAGAGATACCATCTGGATTGCAGACAATTCACCCAAATAGAAAATTAAGCTTGGCAGGGGAAAAAAAAAAAAAAGACCCTTGAGTATCTTTCCAAATTGATATTTCAGTATCTCTGTTTTGCACCAACAGAAACAAGCCCAAATTCTCTGGTAGAGAGTGTGTGCTAGCATGGCCTCTATTTTATTAAGAAAAAAAAAAAAAAATCATGGCAGTCATTTAGCTGTAAAGGCCAAGATATAAAATGTCAGTTTTATTTATGGCAAGTAGCTGGGTAGAAAATATGTCCTGGCATCATTTGAGATTTCAAGAACTTTGTTTTTCTTTTTCTCTTGCTGCATGAAATAATGCTGTATTCTTAACAAACAAACAAAGCAAAACAAAGAAGGAGACAGCCCTTCCCAGCAAGAGAGATCATGTTCTTCTCCTCACATAACCACCTCCAGAGTGAGGGGATCTGCTAGAGACATAGGGATGTAAAAGTCAAATCAGATACGACAGGGGCTTAAACCCACGCTTTCCATCTCCAAGTTCACATGCTAATCACTCGAGAAATGAGCACTCTGGATTTGCTGTTTTCTGCTCTGTTTTTGACTAAAAATTCCATGCTGGACCTGAAAACTGTTCTTGTCAAAAGAAAAAAAAAAAAAAGGTGTCACTGAAGTCAGTCCACCCTTGCCACGTGTGCAGCTGTCAATGAACCCACATTTTCCGACAACAAACACTTCCATCGGAAAATTCCTCCCCAGTTCCCAATGATGAGCAATAATTTATTCCTTTGCTGAGTCCCCAGAGCTACTCAGAGTCAGCAATACCCAGAACATGGCCTGTAAGACAACAGCCACACTGAGGCTAATGAACAGCAGTTATCTGGCTTTGTGCAACCAGTACGTGAGTGTAACATGACCATGGCTGCTGACTTGTGCTTTGATAAGCCTACACAAAGGTCATTAAATCATTAAAACACCACCTGAACCAGCTTCCTAAACAGCCCTGATTAAACTTAAACAGTTAGCAGCAGTTCTGGGTTTTGCTTTTTTATTTTCAGCTTATAGTTAAATTCTCTCCACTATAATCAATTATCCCATGGCTTACATTTGTGTATTATATATCTCTTTCCCAAAGGAAACCTCCTTAAGAGCTTACCATGCCACTGAACACAGAGAACTGGAAAGCTAACCTGGCATGCTCCTCTTATCTGGATGTGAAAAGTGACATCAGACTGAGCCCTGACTCTCCTAACACTGGCAAATTAGACAAGCCAGGTTCTGTAAACACTTTTTTTTTTTTTTTTTTTTTTGGTGCTTCAAAGAGGCTTTATCAGTCCAAAAAGAGCCGAGTATGGATTTCTAAAAGCAGGCTTAGATCTCTCAGCCAAGCACACGCTGAACCCTTGCTTCTTCTATCCTATGACAGCAGAATTATAAAAAGCAAGGCAGTGCCTGCTACTTTTTAGCTGCTGCTTCTACTGGCATCCCAGGGTTTCCTTTTCCATGCCAGCAGAAGTTTGGCTTAGGGGAAAAAAAAAAAAAAATTCATCCCCAGAAAATGGATTCTTGAAATCTGGATCTGCACAGAGTGTAGCCCGTTTCTATATCTCTGGGCTGATTAGTCTGGAGGCTAATGTGACTTTGTTAACAGAAGGGCTCAATGGGTCTCCTAGATGCTTCTGAGTGAGCAGGCATTTACTTCCGAAAGCAACTTGCTTTTTCTTCTGTTAATTAATGTGTTGTTAATTGCAGTGTTTTCCTTAGAGTGAGAAACCTCATCATCTGCAGCATTTGCCAGACCTCGTGCGCAAAGGCTAGATGTGCCAGGCATTTTCAGCTCCTGTGAAAATGAAGCAGTTTTTGGAGTTCAATACCCAGGGCAAAACCACTGGAATCCCCACGGGAGTCAGAGACCCACTTGCTGGCAGTGGGGGTTATGAGCTGCTGGTTACAAAATACTTTGTACGTAGGTGTCTACTGGTGCCAATTTGAAGTATGGTTCTTGAAGAGTCATCTCTGTGAGAAGGTGAAGCAAACACACACCCCAAAACCATCAAGCAGGAACCTCACTACTTTGGGCACCCAAGACAGATGCCCAACAAAGCACAGTGCTGCTGCACCATCCAAGGCAGGGCTTCCTCCATGAAGAGCCACCACACCACCAAAATAGCTTAAACGCATAAAACACACTGAAGGATTATGATTGATGTAGTAAGGAGAGATCTTGCTCACAGACCTTGGGAGATTGTGCAGTCACCACGGCAGAAGGTCTTAGAATCAGCACAGGCAGAGGGAGTGGGTCTTACCTTGGGGCGGGGAGATGAGCTAGAGGATTTCTTGGAGTTTATTCCGTCTTCGTTTGTTAAAGTCTTTTATTAATACAAGACTCGGATCTAGTGAACATAATCCAAGCGCTGAAAGCTCAGTGACAAATTGAGGGCAGAAATAAACTGCACATTTTTTAACACTGGAACAGTTTATCTAGGAACGGCCTGGGTTTTCTTTTGCTTGATGCCTAAGTTAAGATTAGATAGCATGCTGTTAGTTATGTGGTAGCTCAACACAGACTAATGAGCTTGCAGGATACATGAGGTCTGCCTCTCACCTTATGTGCTATTGGGGTTTCATTTTTATCTTCAAATGGATTATTGTCCCAAATGAATTCATTGCTTATAAGAGGACCATGAAAAGATTGCAGTAGAAAGACCGAACTAGAATGATTGTGGAAGCCAGACTTGCCCTTACTACAGAGCACAAAAACCAGAAGATTTGGTTGAGAAGAAAATGTTCCCCTCACCAATTTCTCTCTCAAAAGCAGGACTCTGTGTTACCCTTAAACCAATGGACAGAAACTAGCAAGGATGTTCTCCAAGATCCAGAATAAAGGCATTCCCCTCAAGGCCATGCTTCAGTAATTATCTCAAACAGCAATCATCTAGCATAACAACAACAACAACAAAACCAAATGCCCACATCTCAACCACAGCTGATGCCTAACATGAATGGCTGGAATATTTACAAGGTCTGAATTTGTACTGCAGTCTTCCCAGTTGCTTTCCTTGCTATTACAGACCCATTTACCATGG